GGGGCGGGGGCCCCGGGCAAACTGGGAGCGGCCCAGCGTCGCCCCCTCTCTCCAAGGACTCCCCAACCTCCAGCCCCGGCGGGACAGCTTGCCAGCGGCCATCTGGCCACAGCAGCTCCGAGGGACGAGGGGCGAGGGGTGTCCCTCTGCCCATCCCTGCTGGGGTCTCCCCGGCCCGGCGCTGCAGGAGGGACTCTGCTGCCACCCAGTGGGCAGGCGCAGCCGCCGCGGCGTGCGCAGGCCGGTGCTGGCGGCCAGGGGGCCAGTTGGGGGACCCCAGCCACCTTGGCTGCCAGCCCGACACCTGCACCCCCTATCGCCGAGCTCCCCATGGGGTGCGTCTCCTCAGCTGGGCGCAGCCCACACTTACCAGTGAGTCAGCCTGTAAACATTTGAGTGGAGACCCAGGTAGAGCTCCTGGGGTCACTGGCGAGGCCGCCCTGCGGTGCAGGGGAGCTGCTCCTTCAGCAGGGGGCCCCGTGTGGGCAGCAGCGCGCCCCCCACCCGGACGCCGTCACCGGCGTCTCCTCCCGGGACAGAGCCTGCGGCCGGCCCACCTTACTGCCGCCCGCTGGCCGGTGCGGACGACGGGCCCCCCCAGCCCGTCCTCTGCGCTGCGCTTCTGGGGCTGCGCGCTCCTCGCCCCCGCCCCCAGCTTGCGTCTTCACCCCGACATCCGTGGTGCCCTTCGGCCCTGAGCGACAGAGCCGGCCTGGTGCTGGAGAGCCAGAGCTGACACCGGGGCCGGCCCTGCTGGCCACCCGTCCACGTGCCGAGCCGGGGCCGGCTCGGGCGGGCGCCGTGGAAAGGGTCCAGCGCCTGGCAGGTGCAGCCCGGGCCCCGCCGGGCTGCTTGGGGGCCCGCTGGGGCTCCTTCCGGGCTCCGCGCTGGCTCCATACTGGCCGGGCACTGCGGGGCAGGCCCTTGTCCCCTCTCTCGGCCAGGGTGGCTTCTGGGGAAGAGTAGGAAGGAGGCAGCGGGGGGACCCCGCAGACCCCTGGCCTGCGTGGCCTGCAGGGGCACTGGACGCAGGGGCCACCTGAGCTGTGCACACGCACACGCACCACGAGTGCGGCTGGGGCCTGGCCCGTCCACCTGCCTGCCACTAGCTGGGCTCGAGCAGCCCACCCCAGCGGCCTGTCTCCCCACAGCCCCCCCCCGCCCCGGGAGGCTTGTGAAACAGCAGGCGTTTGAGGGAGGGGTGACTCCCTGTGTGGGGGCCAGGCAGGCACGCGCTGACCGGAAGCTGAGTGTGGACAGTCAGCCGGGCTGTCAGCAGCCGGGCTGTGGTGCAGCCACCGGAACCATGCTGGCTGCTGTGTGGGGGCCCTGTCCTCAGAGGAAGAGGCCCCTCACCCCGCAACGGCCAATCCCAGGAGGCCGGGGACCACTCCGGCCTCTCCGGCTGCCGCCGCAGCTCCAGCCCGGGACTTGGGAGTGTCCTGGCCAGGTTGTGCGAGCACCCAGCCCTGGGGCCTGCCTTCCCGAGGAGGCCCCACCCCAGCCCCTCAGGAATGCGGGGGTGGGGGGGTGGGGGGGCTTTTATCTGCACTTGGCAAGGGAATTCTGAGGCTGAGGGGACGCTGGAGCTGGTGAGGCTGGGGGTGGGGGAGCCCGGGAGCACTGGCTTCCCAGGGCCGCGCAAGCCCCTCCATCCACCACCTGAACTGGTTTCTCCTGCTGTGCTCGGACCCGGCGAGCTGGCGCCCCGCCAGGGAGAGCGAGAGAGCCAGGTATCGCCGGCCACGCCCTGCCGCCCGCTGGGGCCGGCCCTCTCTTACCGAGCCCGAGCCGGCCCAGCTGCAGGCGCCGTCCTGCTCACTGCCCGCCTCTGGACGGCGGCGAGGCCCACTGGGCCTCCAGAGACTGCTGCGTCGCCAGGGCTGAATGGCCCAGGGGTCCCCTGCATTTTGCAGGCGCCCCTAGAAGCGCCCGGCCGAGGACAGCGGAGCCCGGAGCCTCAGCACGCAGGTTTCTCTGGCATCCCCACGTTGAAAGCCTGCAACTCAGACAGCGTCGCCCTCCTCAGGAGGAGGAGGCCGAGCCGGGCGCCTCCGCACCCCTGGCCTCCCCAGACTCCGGCCGTCCTCGGAGAAGGGGCGCCTGGCCCACCCCTCTGGAAAGGGAGCCCAGAGGTGGTGCCCAGGACTGTTATTTATCTGGCTGCGCTGTTTAATGCCAGCTCCCCACCTACCTGCCCCATCTGAGGAGGAGCCCTGGGCTGGAATTTCCTGTTTTCCGAGGGCCCCAGGGGCCGCCCCAGCAGGCCGGCGCCCTGCCGCGCCGTTCCGGGGTGTTCCAGGCCGGGCTTGCCGCCTTTCTCTCGGGCTGGGCTGGCTCCCCGCCGCTCCAGGTCTGGTCTGGACTTGCCGGCTGGCGGCCGAGGAGTTGAGGCTCCCGGTGGCGTGGCGGAGGATCCAGGCGCCCAGAGGCCGGAGGTCCGTGCGCCCCGGCTGCGGCCCG